CTATAGGTCTCATTGGTCTAGTGGTTATAATGCTCGCCTTGATAGTGAGAGGTTGCAGGTTGGAATCCTACCAGAGACACTTCTTTCATACTAATGAAAAGGAACTTTTCGTTTGATGAGCTCTGCTTATTACGATAATTACAATATGTTCCCTCTAGCACTGTTATTATTATTGATCTATTTATATATATATATATATATATATACATATACATATATATATATATATATATATATATATATATGTACAAATACTACTACAGCCTATATGACGCTTGACTGGAAGGAAGTCACTGAAATTAACCAATCCACTTTTATTATGCTAAAAAGTAAATCTTGATTCTTTACAGCACATGTCGTTGTCATGCTTAAATTATGAAAGTTTAGGTCAAATAAATATATGTAAGATGAAATATATCTTATGATACATTTTGACACATAAACAGGTGGACTGCTTGCAAGAAGCGCCTCCGTGGATCAAGTGAAATGCTCATTAACTAATCACTGGCTGTTACTTACGGTATACGATGTCTCTAAGAAGAAGCATCATAATTATTAGGTGAGTGTTTATACTGTATTACAACATAAAACGAACGCTCATATTGTTATTTTTATTGATATGTTTATTGTTATATTATTGTTTTTTTTTAATTTTTACTTTCATTGTTATTATTATAAATTATTATTATTATTATTATTATTATTATTATTATTATTATTATTATTTTATATAATTATTATTATAATTGTTACCTAATTATTGTTATTGTTATTATATTACTACTACAGTACTACTATACTGCTAGTGCTGCTTCTGTTACTGCTACTGTACTACTACTATACTATACTGCTGCTGTTACTATTAATCTTCGTATCTGTTATTTTCTGTTTAAAGTTGTGGTCTTACCATCTTAAGCAGCATAATTGAAGTAAGCAATGCCCAACTTCCTGTAGATAACAACAATGGAACGGAAAAGTAAGTAGCTTTACTATTTTTTGTTTTTGTTTTGTTTTGTTTTTTGCATCATAAATGTTTCCTTGTACGCCATTGGCGTGGTGTACTAAAAATATGCCGGTCATTATCACAAAAATGGTGCGTTTCAAAGACTATGTAAATATTACAATGTTCTGAATAAGTTGTAATTTGTTTTCTCCACGTTTTTTTCTTTTGTCTTTTAGCTCTCGCTTTTCTGTTTTAGTCTGCGTTCTTTCGCCTATAAATACCAACATTATAATTAATGTTTAAGTATTACATCTATAAGCATACTATTTACTAGCTTTATGTATACAGAAATATATTGTTTAAGAAATTAAAATCTGCTTTAGCTTTTGCTGATCATTTTATCAGCTTTTTCGGAATAACTTTGCTAAAGTAATGGAACGAGAGATTTTTTTTAAATTTAGGCCTACTTTGGTTCATTTATTCAAGACTTTAGTTGTGGCATTAAAGTTAGGATACTTATCGATGCGTTAACGTACGGAAGTGTTTTTTGATTGTCTGTATTTGGAATCGAACGTCATCAATTCTATGGCAGGCATTTGTCGCCGTATAAATTCCTGAGGCAAAAAGTACATTCACATGTATAAGCATAATGTAGAGATTGGTGTTAATATATCAAACTACAAAACAAGCTCTACACAATGTCAAACACGTCACGGTGATTCAATTGCTGACCTGTAATTAGATCATCATCAGAATTGATAATGATAAATCATTATAATAAAGGTCAAATCTGATGATATTAAAATTCAAAAAGTTCGTATTATACTTAGTTATCTCAAATTTATCAAAATGTAAACGAACTTCAAAAAAAAAAATATATATATATATACATATATAAATATATATACATATAAATATATATTTATATATATATATATATATCATATAGTATATATATTATATATAAATGGAAGTAGCATCATTTTCAACACTATTAATGTTCTACTCCAGGAGAATTACATTTTTTCTAACCTTTGTGATCACGTCACGCAATAACATGTGTAATTGAAGTAGTCCTACATTTACAGTGAACGTAAGACGTAAGAGGCGTTTGTTATATATATATATATATATATATATATATATATATATATATATGCATATAAATATATATATATATATATATATCAGAATCAGAATAATAAAAAAAATATAAAGAAAAGATGACTTTCATTGGCAAACTTTTACTTTTTACCTCCAAAATAAATCACCGCTTCCTTATACCAATACATATCTCTCTGGTAAGTTTTTTAATCATACATTCATTAGTTTTTGCATAATCCTCCTAAAAACATACATAGACAACCGGGGGGTGAAACTTCTGGGGCGGGCGGAGGTATTAAAAATAACAGCAACAGCAATAAACAACAACAATTACAATACTAATTATATTTATAATAATATTTTTATGTGTAGTGAGAAGATGAGTCGCATTGACTTTTTGGATGACCAGCGTATCAGGCCCAATGTTTCAGGTAAACTGGACTTAATCAATTATGGATGATAATAAGGTCCTCCAACGTTACATATTCAAAGTAAGGCTCGACTTATTTTATACCTTGTTTAGCGAACCAGTCGCCCGCCAATAATGATGATTTCTAACACTTTTTAAAATTTATAGTACCAGTACCCTCGCCGCTGCCTTGAAATCTCCAAAAATATGATAGGCCTATGTATATTTCTTCCTCAATTTAAAGCATTTAACCATCCTATAACTACATTGTTTACATTCACCAATAGGCCTAATATTTAATTTATAAACAAGCTATAAAAAAAGTCTCGCCTAAGGACGAAATAAGTACAGTATACGCATTAGACCCGAATAATAAAAACAACCAATGAATCAATTTATAATTGAATAAATTTATAAACCGCCTAAATTAACCTTTTCAGGTGGCCCAGTAAAGGTGAAGCTAAGCGTCTACATACTGTCTCTTGGTCCATGTGAAGATCTAAGCATGGTAGCTATGTTTTGTATTTATATAAATAATGTTTTTAACGGTTAATTTAAAACGCTACAAAATACAGACGATAGGGATTTATGTGCATTTTATACTACGAGAGAGATCAATTTGTGACATAGGCTTAAGCAATACAATTCAATAGGCATAGAATTTACAGTTATTAGCTTTCGATTTTTTAAAAAGAAAGTTAACACAAGTTGTGGCAGAGTCATAGTCATGAAGTAAATAATGTTTTGTCATAGGAATGCGACATCACTTTGTACCTTCGAATGCAATGGTTTGACAGTAGAGAAGTGTTCAATGGTTTAAAGTATGTTATATTACGAGGTGATGATACGGATGTTTTCTGGAAACCAGACGTATTCTTCGTCAACGAAAAACGCGCTACAATACCTGACGTCACAATCAAGAACATGGCGGCCCGTATCTATCCTGCGGGTTATATATTTTTCAGTGTAAGGTAAATTTTCTGATTTTTGAAAGTGTATATATATATGATTCAAGCATGCCTAACTGTAGCTTGGTAATTGATGCGCGCCGTTAGTTGTCACTTTTATGAGACTAAAAACATATTTTTGTGCAAAGAGTTGATAGATGAGACCATCATAATAATATATGTATATTCAGAAATATTTAATATCCTATAGGCCTAACCATTTTATTAAACAAAGTGTGTCACATTTTAAAAATATTTTGATAATCTTCACCTCACGTGAAACATAATCAATGAAAAACATTCGAACTACAACAAGCTTTGAGAGTAAATGTAATAGAATATATATATATATATATATATATACATGCTACGATACTTTGACTTTTAGGAGACATAGAAATATTTATTAGCGAAATTTTTGGCAACTCCTGTTATCTTCGTCAGAGCTTAAGTATGAAAAACTATATATATATTTATATATATGCCTATATATATATAGGCCAATAATATAAAAAATAATTCGTATTTATTTTAATATTGCCAATTGTTTTTAGGGTTAGTCTTAGAGTCACGTGTCAAATGCATCTGGCATTATTCCCTATGGATACTCAAACGTGTTTTGTTGCAGTTGAATCATGTTAGTAAAACTTTGTGTATTGTCGTTATTATATATCATCATACCCATCATCGTCGTCATCATAATCATCATCTTTGTTGTCGTTGAGTCGTCGTTGTTCTTATTATAACTTCATTAGAAAAGCCTAATTCTTTGTTTCTTGTTGTTATAATAATTATATCATGATATAATATAACTATAATCTTATGATATAATGTTATGATATAATGTTAACTATAATATTATGATATAATGTAACTATATATCCTATTGTCTATGTGATAATTATCGTATCAATTTTGGTCAAAACGTTTTGAGTTTGAAATGAAAATGCACCATTTCAATTATTTATTAATGATTTATAACACAATGTACCGTATTTATTCGAATGAACGCCCTTTTGAAAAAAAAAACCCCGCACAATCGAATAAACCTCCCGTAGAGCTTCATTCGGAATAACAACTCCTCGAATAACGGCGCCCCGAGGGGTTTACTATTTCCTAGAAAAAAAGAACACTCACCCACCCCCACCCCCTATGACTGTAATCAAATCTAATGGAGGCAACATCGTTCTTAAAACATTCGATTAATGTTTTACTTCAGTATAATTACATTTTATCTAACCTACTTGGGATTAATACCGTAAAAGTCTTTATGATCACGAAATACTTTACGGTAATTACGGTATGTGTTATAGTTCCACATTTACAGTGAAATTTAGGCGCTTATATTTGAGTATTATACGTATTCATTTTAAAGCCCCAAAAATATACGCATTCGTCGATTAAACGCCTCCTTGAATAAACGCCTCCTTGAATAAACGCCTCCCTCAAAAACCCTTCTCAACAATAATCACGGTCTTTATTCACATTACAGATGCGTATCCGACATCTGATTTGGTACTGGAGTGGGACGCCGTAGCCGTAGATACACATAAGGATCTCAAAGTCTCCCACTTCATACTCAGTCGCTTGTGGTCGGATGTTGAGTTGCAAAACTATACAACCGGTATGAACCATGTACAGTAACTATGGACTTATCTGGAGTTGCCAATCAAATACAGTAATATAAAATAAGTACTGGGCCATGAAAACGCACATGTCCCACAAAACAGTGTGCCATTTAGTTAGTCAATCAGTTAGTCATTCACACCGTCAGTCAGTCGCAGTCAGTCAATAAATTAGTTAGACAATCAATCAATCAATCAATCAATCAATCAGTGAGTGAATCAGTCAGTCAGTCAATCAGTCAATCAATCACTCATACAGTTCAATTAGTTAATCAATAGTAAATCAAATAATATATAAATTATTTAAGAAACCAACCATCAAACTCATTTAATCAATATATCAATCAACCAATCAATCAATTGATCAGTAACATAAAAAAAACCCCAAGTAGGCCAACATGTGTCATGGCTGTTATATGAAGAGACGAGGCTTACTCTATGACTGGATCTGATAGAGACTGAACATTCAACATATTACATTCACAACACTTATCACGCCATGTGTTCACCTGTCGCTTATTTCGATGACAGACTAGTTAAAAGAGACTCGTCTGCGGGATCCATGATTAATAGCAACAAATATCTAGGAATGAATCAATGTTAATGCGAATACTTTATCCAATCTAGTTCTATTATTTAGACCATTTGTAGTTGAAGATATTGTACATTCTTGTCTAGTCATGACGTAATTTTATAATAAATACCGTATCGCAATATCATAAGGGAGGGTACGAAAACGATAACCAATAATGATTACTCATCAATTGTTTATCCAATCTTCCACTTATATCATCATCAAAGCCAATATTCGATCTTTATTCGTAAGTAGAAAACACAAAATTATTATGTTTCTGACGTGGACCATTATGCATTTTGGCCTCCTTTAAAAATCCTATATTTTTGGGGGTTTTTTTTTAAATATCGTTTTTGATACTATTTATTATCAGGAATGACATAATAAAAATTGTATAAATTCAAACTGCAGGGAAGCTGTAATTTTCAATATGGCTTAGGCTCTAACTAAAGTATTTTCATTCTAGAGTAATGATTCTTGTGTCTACATAGGTTTTCAAAAAGTAACCGATGCTTTAACTTTTGGCCAATCATAATCTAGTTTTGTTTTAGAGCACGCATCATTGGCTCTAGATTTTGGATGATATAGTTAATTTATATTATTAATTAATCTATGTGTCTTTATGTTCCCAGGTTTTTTCAGCACTGCCTACCTACGGTTTGAAATTACCAGAGAGCTGTTATCTTACATGATTACGTCATACGTTCCCAGCGCCCTGTTGGTTATGATCTCATGGCTGTCATTCTGGATCGACATCCGGGCCACCCCAGCGCGTGCCACTCTCGCAGTAACATGTCTTCTGACCATGTCTCATATTGCTTTGGAGTCGGATTCATTTGCAAAATTTCAAACGATCACCGTGAGTTATCATTTTCATTTTAAGGAATTTACGACGTTTCTGAACCCAGGTTTTTAAAAGGGGTTTCTTTAATAACTATGTCTACAAATGAGAGAATTATAGGGTTACATAATTATCATGAATATTCCTACAAATCAATTCGTCTTTTTTATCACTCTGAATTTAATTAAGAATTATATAAGACATACGTTTATGTATTAGAAATGCAATGAATTTTAGATATATATATATATTATATATTTTATGGGTTTTCTTAGTCATTTATATTGTTAACGTATCGTAGAAGAGGTACGGTTATTTTTTGCGGCTCCTTGTGTTTCACGATTAACTAATACTTATATATGTTTAAAAAAATAATATTAACAAATTTTACAGAAGAAAGGCGAAGGCCACTTTTCTACGTTTTGCAAGGCATCATCAGGAATGTATGCTTGAAACGCAGAAAATGGCCTGGTCAATTTTTAGAGCCACCTTTTATATATTAGGTGGTTTTCGCTGCACGACGTTAAACTTAACTTTAGTACCCAACAAGCAGCGCAATAGCTCCGCCCCTTTTGTAAACAAATCGAAATACGCATGCGTAAACCCGTAACTAACGTACGTCTAGCACGTAAAATCATGAAATTAACGTACTCCGCAACGCAAAATGAATAAATTATGACGTCATCCGTTAACGTTAAGGTTACCGTCGTGCGGCGAAAACTGCCTATTATATCAAGTGACTGTGCATTGATGTTTACTGAATAAATAAACACATATTATATTATAAATCAATTGATTCTAAAGATACTAACATTTTACAATGTTTTGTTCAGGTTGTTTTGTACCAATCCAGTTTATAGATCCAATAGATTCAACCATTTAGTGTTTTTAGATATTTACGGTTGTAATTGTTATAATATCGATGCTTTAACATTGTTTGAATGATATTGTTCAATGTTAACCACCCGCCCCACAGGCAATGGATGTCTGGATGGCGACATGTCTGTGCTTTGTATTTGGTGCCATGATGGAATTCGCCACGGCAAGCTACACACTGACAAAGGTACAGTAAATCCAAATAAGCTTCCGTCTAATACTCTAGTGAGCGAGTTCACTCATGCGTGACCGTAATACGTTCTCTGCACAACGTAGATTTGGTCAAATTGCGTTATAGAATCGACGTGACGAGGAAAACGTTTTCGCATGCGCAGATCACTTTTAGTGACGTCATTACGTTCTACTTCCTACCGTCGTCGTGCAATCAAAAGCTCCTTATGTGCATGAGTGAAGTACACGGTATCTTTTACCCCTGGTATTTAAATTTTTATTTTGATATGTGACCCTCATTTCAGCATATTCACTCACATTTTCTCTACTGAAATAGTTTCTATTTCGATTTAATTGTCTAAACGGCCAAAGTTCAGTCACTACCGTATCATAAGACAAAATGGAGGAACATTATTCAACAATAATTATGATGAGCAATGAGAGCTGGAATTGGTATATCAAATGTTTTGACAGTAATTAAGCATATTAATTAATATTTTACCTACCTCCATTTGACGTGCGGCGAAAACTGCCTATTATATCAAGTGGCTGTGCATTGATGTTTACTGAATAAATAAACACATATTATATTATAAATCAATTGATTCTAAAGATACTAACATTTTACAATGTTTTGTTCAGATTGTTTTGTACCAATCCAGTTTATAGATCAAATAGATTCAACCATTTAGTGTTTTTAGATATTTACGGTTATAATTGTTATCATAATATTGATGTTTTAACATTGTTTGAATGATATTGTTCAATGTTAACCACCCGCCCTATAGGCAATGGATGTCTGGATGGCGACATGTCTGTGCTTTGTATTTGGTGCCATGATAGAATTCGCCACTGCAAGCTACACACTGACAAAGGTACAGTAAATCCAAATAAGTTTCCGTCTAATACTCTAGTGAGCGAGTTCACTCATGCGTGACCGTAATACGTTCTCTGCACAACGTAGATTTGGTCAAATTGCGTTATAGAATCGACGTGACGAGGAAAACGTTTTCGCATGCGCAGATCACTTTTAGTGACGTCATTACGTTCTACGTCCCCGGGAAAGCTCCTAAAATGTTGTTAGTGATGTTAAGCTGGGCACTTACTGCGCCTGACGGTCGCCGACCGACTTGTTTTATGGAGGACGCAGCTGCACGGCGCGTGCGCAACGGACTGTTTTAATGACTATTAAAGTCTCTATATAGGGACTCTAATGACTATTCATACAGACTGCCACCGACAATCAGTGGACGGCGTCGTGTCGTCTACAGGCCAACTCAGACAGCATCATACGACGCAGCCCGACGCGATTTATCGTCTGGGACAGTCTTTATCGTGAAAATATTAAACATGTTTAATATTCTACGACGCGACAGCCCCCGACGCAAACCATCACGTCTGTGTTTAACTCACACAGACCCGACGCAACAACAAATCGCCTCGGGCTGCGTCGTACGACACTGTCTGAGTTGGCCTTAACGCTCACTAGTTCTGGAGTTGGATTCGTCGGCTGACGGTCGTACGACCATCTACGATACAGTAAGTTCCCGCCTTAATTGATGTTATTGAAAACGCTATAATATAACCACAGCAGCTAAAAACATAATACATATACAAAGTGCACACCAAAAGCTTCGACTTTTTAAGTCGTATCCAATCTAGTGCTGTATTATTATTATAATGTATTGGTCAAGTAGGAAATATTTACATTATTGTGAGATAATTGTGATAGAAGTGTGAATGTTCTTTTTTCAGCCAAAAACCATTAAACCAAAAAAAGGTGATACGAGCGCATCCCTGGAAGAGAATGAAAACAGTAAGAGTCGACCATCAACCGTCACCAGCAGTTCATCAACAGCGAACTCTATGGATACCTGCTCACGTGTTCTTTTTCCTACTGTCTTTTTAATATTTAACATTTGCTATTGGGTATTATATCAATTTGCAACAGTCAAAAACGCCTAATTTACTTATACACTTTGATAATAGTCGTTAAGGTAGAATATACAACTGGAAGTTTTCTGGAAATAGATTTATTTAGATAATAGATAATTACTTACTTCGCCTACAGCTCTATTTAATAAAAATGCTTTAATTAAGGAATGTGTTTTCAAATTAATCTCTGAAAACGTAGGAATAGGTAACCACTTGTATTCATATATAGTGTATAGGCATACAATTATTTTAAAAATCGTAATAACTCTTTATTTAAACAAATTATTCATTATAAACTTTATCTTTGTAAACGTTGACAAATAAATAGCAATAAATTGTAGTCATAGAGGAGAAAAAATGTTTGCCTTAATTAAATTAGTCCATTTGTGTATCTTTTATTTTGATTGTTTTAACTTTGTTTAACATAGTGGCAGAGCCCACAATTACCAGTTCCCTGGCTTATAAGAGAAAACTTCAGAAAATAGTGTCCGAATAGAAAGATCAAAATCTGCTACGGTGCATCTTTTCATAGCCAATACCTTTTCCTATTCATATTGACGATTCCTGATTCTCAATCGTCGAAATTATTGTCATATTACTCATCTATTGACGGGGTGAAATAGCCTCTTGACCAGGCGTAACATTACATCCGAGCTGGTCTCCCCAGTTAATATGACCGTATTGCGTAGTTAGTTTGTCCATGTTATGAAGTCGACACTCCAGATCGCTGTATTCAGAATCCATTCTTTGGAATCGTTGTTCAATGTTTAAATTAACGTGACTTAGCTGTTTGATGACGTTTTGTAGATCACCCTTAGCTTCTACTAATCGACCGAATTTACACTCTAGTTCTGTGCTTCCCTTCTCAAATTTATATAATTTTAAACGTAACTGTTCGTTAATTTCGCTCAATTCATTTAACGAAATTTTAAGATTTTCGTTTTCTTCTGTTAGTTTACATTCTGTCTTTTCTTGTTTGTCAGTTTTAGCAGATAATTCATCGACCTTCTTTCTTTCGTCACGTAGTTCGATTTCATAACCCGAGCACCGCGTTTCCAAAAGTTCAAAACGTTTCTGCACATCTGCATTTTTGGCCAATAGTGATCCGTTTTCTTTGTCGAGATATTCAACTTGTTTTTGCAGATGTTCAGCCTTCTCTGTCACATGATCAAGTTTTGTTGCCAAACTATTAACTTCTGATTCTAACGCGCATTTCTGTTTAAGATAGGATTCACTTGAGTCTTTGTACTTCTGGTGCTCCGTTCGAAGTTGTAGCAACTCAATCTCTTTATCGTTGTTACCCTTCTTCAAATTGCCCAGTTCCATAAGGTTATGAGTGTTTTCTGCCATGGCGGACGACAATCGGGACTGCAGTTCAAGAATGTTTAACTGTAATCGTTCATTCTCGTTGCGATGAATGCTATTTTCACTTTCGAGTTTCAATGTATATTTTGACTGATCACTTGACTCTCTTTCCATTGTACGAAGTTTTGTTTTTGCAGAGATGCATTCGCTATTTGTGTCTTTAAGTTGTGATGACAACAACAATTTCTCTTTTTCAGTCCTCGCAACTTTGGTTTCCAATTCGACAATTTCTCGCTCAAGCTCTTTCATGCTATGGTTCCATTCTGATTTAGATTTCGTTGAATTTCGCCGACATTCTTTTAGCTCTACGTTTTCTCTTTCCAATTTGCCAACCTCCCCTGTTAACTTTAAATTATCATCAGTCAATTTGTGATAATTACAGGATAGTTCATCATTCATGGTCCGCAGCCGTATAATTTCATTCTGGAGAACTTGGTTCTTTGCATGAAGACTCTGCTGATCCGGGCTTTGAATGCAATGCATACACCCGGTTCTAAATGTCGCTTGTTCCGTAACAGGTGGAGACCTGTTGCTATAATTATCGCTGGGTACGTCCTCTGCGAAACTCTCATCCAAAACCTTTTTTTTGCAGATTGTGGATAATGTATCATTAACCTGCTGAGTATCATCATCCACGCTTTCGACGACCAAAGAAGGGGATTGAACATCTTTCTGTTTGAGTGATTGGGTCTTGTATCTTGTTTCGGAAGTGTTCTCGGATACTTGTCCCATGCACAACATTGATTGGCTAATTCCTAGTTGTTTAAAGTCGTCGGTAATCGACCAAGAATCGGTATATGATACACATTCTGTGTCAGACATGCTCGCATCGCCAGCATCATCTAATATACTTGGATGCCGATGACATGTACTACTCAATTCTACCATCGATTTGAACTGATCAACCATCCTGCCAAGTGTGCTTGCCACTTTTTGTTGTTCGTTCTCAATGGTTTTATCTAAAATACTGTTAGACATCCTAGCAGGTAATTCCACTTGCGAAAACCCTTCTTTTTCTGTGACCCACGTCTCCGACACTAGACCTATATTGCAACATCTGGTCATAATGCTGTCAAACATGGTTTCCAAATCATTTAACTGCTTATCAAATTGGCACATTTCAGAATTTCTATAACAAAAACAAACCCACAGAATTAATTTAACTGTGATTAATGAGAATGAATTAGCAATGTGCAGCTTTTCTAGTCTTCGTGTGTAGGCCTAGGCCTGGGCCGCCGCTTGCCTACCACCAGGGCCAGTTAAAGATTATTAATAAATTAATAATAATATATCAGTCGGTTACCCATTTAGGCTTACATTACCTGCTTGTTTCGATTAAAGTAGATGATTCTAGAGCCTGTTCATTTAAATCTTCCACTATCATTTCTTCTGAAAATGAAAAAGGGATCTGTTCCATTGTCGCCGCGTCTTTCTCACGGTTTTCTTTGATTGTCAGTGCTCGGTCATAGTAGTGCTGCATTTTGACGTCCCATTGGCCCCGACCATCTAATACTTTCCCATCACGTGACAGTATAATCTGGCGACCATTTATAAAACTTCTGCCAGCATATTCTACCAGGACCACACGTCGACTGTCTTTGGCAATACACCAAGTGATATCAAAACTCCCAAAGTTTTTACTGTATGGTAAAGACGGTGGTTTTGTGAATCTTGGGCTTTTCCCGGTCTCCAGTAACCCAAATTGACACTTGTCACCCAATTCCTTCAGAAGATTTGGATCAAATCGTTTGCTATTGAATCGCTTCTGTGTTTCTTTTCTTTGTTTGTATTGTTTCTTGGGAGGCGAAGAAAATAGTGATCGAAAAGGCATGGTTTCTGACTCCACCTTAATACACTGACTGATGATTTAAAAAAATCTTAGCTTTGGCATCAGGAAATTGTTTAGTTTTTTTGCGTTGTTTAGATCGTTCTTTGTCGCTTTAGACAATACGCAGATCACACGCGCAGTCATGGAGATCTCCATATCACATCCTCTTTACTAAGGCGCGCACGCACTTCCGCTGCGTATTCACTATCAACTAGCAACGAGTAGCGCACCGGATGTTTATCTTGGTAACACCAAGTAACACGCACGTCGGAATTATGCGTATCCGGGATATAAAAAATCATATGGAAACAATAAACAAAAATGAGATTGACTGACCTCCCGATTTGGTTAGCGTGGTTTTCCATTTTCTGTATTGCCATATTTTGCGTTGGCCATCATGACCCTATACCCATATATAGGGGCGCTTATGAATAGATCGATATACAGTATAAAAAAAATAATATGCCCTATTATTTTTTTATACTTTAGCCTATATCGATTTTAAAATAAATCGATTTACATTATAAAAAAATAATAGGACCTATTATATTTTACTCTATATAAATTTTCTTTAAAGGTATGAATTTACGAGGATATTAATGTTAAAAACTACGTAATCAAATTAAAACTAGTACCGTCTTCTTTAAACCAACAACTTATAAAACGCTACACAAATAACTGAGCACCCTCGACGGTGGTTTGATGAAGAGCATATAGTTATTTAAACGTAGAGGCCGCTATACATGGAAATGTAATAGAGCTCTGAAATGTATATCATCAGTGGATTTTATTGATTCATTCTTTATTCAGCCAATAACATAAACAAGTGTGAACAAAACAAATCAAGGAAATTTAACAAATAGGGCCTACATACAAGAGACAAGAAATAACCTAAGTTCGCTAGGATTAACTATAGTGTGAAAAACACTCTGGCTCTCAAGCCTGTTAGTCCGGAGAATAAGATGTCTTAAAAAAACATGCCTATACAGCAATGCTCCCTGGTATAACTTTGATGTTTGACTTTTTTCTAAGATTAAATTTGCTAACATTTAATATTTCGTTAAAAATTAATAACCATTCATAGCTTAAAAAATAATAATAAATAATAATAATAATAAAAATAATAAAAAAACAAATAACTAGGCCGATTACCATATAAAATTTACAATTCCATATAGTTATTCAACAAATTGAGCAAAAATATATAAATTTATAATAACGAAGTTTATACTGTATTACTAAAGTAAGAAACAATTCAACTTATGATTATCTTTGCTTAATTACAAAACTAAGCCATCTCCCTTTTCAGCATGCTCGTTTTATACAGTTCGAAAACTTGAGTCCAAAAAAAAAAAAATACGTCCCAGGTAGAGTCAGAGACTATAGTGCTGATTGTGGACTAATTTCCTTCTTGCTTACTTTTTTTTTTGGAAAATGACAAAATAAAATAAAAATAAACTGTAAATACAGCAAAACCATGTAGAACCGAACGTAAAGTTACGGCCAGGTGGCGCCCTATATAAACGCTCCCATAATTCCATTCGATGAAGGCTGATTACACCAACACACTTTCAGCGGAGAGTTCCATCCGATCGCGATATCTTTATTCGGGACAGGTAACTCACAGTGAGGTTGTGGATAAGGCGGGCATCCTACAGGTGCTACTTATTATATAACTAACGGTGGAACCAAGGCGTGCTGTCCTTTTTAGTTTGTCTCGGAGTACGAAAGGTGGAAATATGAGCTAGTTGGCGTTCTGTGGGGTTACCTTAAGATCATCATCTCTTGCTGTTTTACAGTCATCGTTAACTTATCACAGATATCGTCATTCCAGAGAAAGTCTACAACCATAGCAACAACTTTAGCATGGCTGACGGCGGCAGAATTCAAGCGAAGTTTCGGCGTGAAGGGGGAAAACCGTCTAAGCGGGTAAGTACGTACTTACAGGGAAGATACTTACAATGGTGCTCATCAAGATTATATATTGAATAATTGAAATACTAGACCGTGTGCATGATCGCTATTGGAGGGATGCAAGGGTGTGCAAATTTAATATATGGACCATGGATGGGGTAGTGGTGGGAGGGGTGGGGTTGGGAGTGGTGGGCAGGGGTTTCACCTAGAATCACAGTGAGGTGAAATTTTCTCAGAAGATTGTCAAAATTTGTTGAATGTTGTGTACAGAGGTCATTTAAATTTTTGGATAAATGTACGCTCAATCATCCATACAACTTGTTTCGCTAAAAACACTTCTATTCAAGTAACATGGCCAACAAGTTATCCATGATTATTTACTTTTTTAGTGTTAATGTAGCTCCAAGGTTAATCACAAACTATGCACATTTAATCCAAGGTATGCAATGTACTGTAGGCGTACAGTATTGGTAGAAGGGTGTCCTTAAAAATGGTAAATTTGAATCCTTTAATTTATTCACCTGTAACTATAAAAGTATGGTATACTACTATAAAGTTCTGTGAATTCTCTTGCACTTGTAAGGCCAAATAAAATTAATTGTTAGTTTCATATTCAGGATTGAATTTTTTTTTTGGTGCTGGTATTAACTATTTACTATCCTTTATATAATTAATAATAAAAACTTTTTAAAATTAATCTTTGCAACATATTCTGCCATTTGTATTTCCACCTTTTTTTAGGCTTTGAAAACAATTTTTCAAATTGTCATTATCTTTATTTTCCATTAAGAAATTATTATTTTTTGATAGTTAACAAATAGCAACTTGTTCCATAAGGCCCTAAAAACTGATGAGGATAGGGATATGACAACTAGCAATTAATTTTATATTTGGCCTTAATATCCTGCTTCCATTTAACCTACTTTTATTTCCATATTATTTTCTGTTTTTTTGTATGTTGATATTATATGGAAATACTTGATTTGATTTCACTTGAAAGACTATTTGCAATACTCATAGGACATTATTTCGAAATAAAATGCAGAGTCTAGAGTTTGATATCATTTTTTCCTTCAACAATAAACTTCATATTATGATGTACTTGGTTATTTAAAAAAAAATTTGTTGTAGTCTTGTTAAATTTGAAGTAGTTGTTAATTTGTGCATGGACTTCTATTTCTACCAATCCCATTCGCTGTCTCTAAGCAAAATCTGATCGCTTCCTCAACAGTAGGAGCACACTTTTAAGGACATTTCTTGTTGAACATGAAAAGAAGGGTGCATATCATATTAAATGTAGGTCGAAATGTTTGTTTATTTACCCAACAGGTGTAAAAATGTACCCTTGTACACTAGCGATCCAGCACTCCAGTGGGGTGGAGTGTGTTGTCTGTAAATTACTTCAGCTGGTGTCCTTATAAAAACGTTATCTCCTGCAACCACTACTGATAGTGTATATTATCATCAATGCGTAACCAATCTCCAATGGGTTTGCCATATTTGTTTTAGATAAGTTGTCTGCCTCAGCTCACTGTGTTGTGTTTAAATAAAGATATGCTTTCTCTGGTTAAAATCTGAAATTACCGTAACTATATAAAATATGTTTTAAATATTAAATTTAACCAATCATTTTCATGTAAAGCCAACAAAATTTAGATGCTCCAAATTTGTCCATCATACTGGAAATAATTACAAAACTATAAAAGCTTGTATTTGGATAGAGTGAGTATTTTTTCTGTTCAGTATATTTTTAAGAGGGAAAATATAAAAAATGATGAGAGGTGGTACAAGAAAATGTGGTTTTTTTTGCATTAGTGTAGTATATATAATAATATTAGTAATACTTTATTGATGAATCAAACATTTGATAAAACAAAATTACACAAAAAATTAGTATACAACATGCACTGCAGAAAATATAAGAACCCTTGGTGAAGAATGTTGGCCTGTCTAGGATTGTCATGTTTTGACAGATTAAACAATTGGTATGAACTTGAACCCAGTAGGGGACCTTTATCGGGTCAAACGTGTTCAAGTGAAAGATTGTTATATTATCATCGAATGGAACTGTATATTGTTAATGTTATCATTAAAAATTGTCTAAAATCCTGAAAATGTGTGAAACTCTAAAACATTATCTATATGTCAGTGTATATAATGAATAGGGTGCTGGCCTTGAAAACCCTAAGAATCCTAATCATGAATTCTTTAAACTTATCTTATTGTCCAAACCCAGTACCACCTCATTTTTTAAATATTAAAAATAGTCAAGTGAAGCTACAGTTTAATTTTAAAGATGATTATCCTAATATTTTCTATGGTCCTGAAAACAAATTCTGTTTTAAACTGACAGATTATCTGTATATTATAAAAAAATAAAAATATATTTTGCATATATGGTGCTGACCCTCAAATCCATAAGGTTCTATGTTTGAATTCTCAAAACTGTCATATTGAAGCAATAGTAAAGATAAATCTCTAATCCTCATAATGAGCTTTAGATAACATCATTGATTTCCATTTACCTGTATATAGTAGTAGGCTACAGAGTGGCTTGCTACTACTGGACTCAATTGAATATTTCATTTAACGATATTGAATATTTCATTATTGTACAGTATATTTTCCTTATTTATGACTAGATTAAAATACTATGATATAAATGATCAGTTTACTTGTGAGCTCTCTTTCATTTGGTGACTTCCTAATGTCTCCAAATAATCTCATAATACTTAATTATGTTCTCTTCATTTCATAATTTGCTTCTTGATTGAAAAACCTTTGAAGGTAAATGATTTTGTTATTAATTATTATTGGCTAAAAAGAGAAGGATTGCATAAAGAAAAAGATTGTATACTTCGTGAATACCTGGATAAACCGACTAATTGCCTATTCTTTCTCTCAAAAGAACACCCCTCAAAATATAATTGAACAGTCGAATCCTTATTTCAGTATAAATGCACATGATTTTGATATTAAAGTATTATATTTTTTTTTATCCAATTTTTTGGGGATTTGAGAATTATTTTTCTATGCAGTTGAAAAAATCTGAACGGTAAAAGGCATTGATAATATTATTCATAAAAGCTGAGCTGTCAGGTTAACGCAGACAAAAACATGAATTTGGCACATGTTAAAGTGATCAGTATTCTACTTAATGACCCTTTCTACATTAAAGTTGATAATATGCATGGTTGACTAATTATGCTATCATCCACTACTTGTCGGTGGACAGGGATTATCTCCTCTCCACGAGAAACAGCCGCTGGCTTCTATGCACTAGTTTTCGCGATAAAATGTTCTGCTCGGATATTGTTTTAGTAAATTTGCGGCCGGTAATTGTTCCTTTGTCGAACAATAGACCGAGTTGATTGGATGGTATTACCTGAAGCAACCGCGGTTGTTTACATTTGGACGAGGTGTGTGAGCACAATGTATGAAACTTACATATCTAGGCATCATGAAATCACTTCTGCTTAGTATCATCAATCATTTTTACATATGAACAATGTTAATGGAAATTGCCACTGTATCTGAATACAGTTACAATAGAAAATTATACATGTAGAGAAGTGTGTTAAATATAAAATGTAATAAAAAATATATGAAAATAGATGACAAGTATTGAAATATAATGGATTCAGATAAGAATATTTCCCCTTCATATAAATATTGACCATTGTTTTATTATCATTACCCATCATTATTAGATTTTTTATTTAGAGCTATTATTATATTGATTTGTATTTATCAATTTGTTATTCTTATTCTTATATATTATCCTTTCTACATATATATTTTTGGCTATTAAATAATTATTAGAATGTTATGACATTACTTTATTATTGACATATTACTATTGTGTATATAATGAATGGAAACTATAATTATCTATCGGTTATAAAGGATACGACACAAATATTGTTATGCTTCACAAATGAATGCATTTAATTTGGTAATTGTAAACTAATCTACAGTAGTTTCAATAATACATAAATCGAAAACTAATGTATATTTAATTTGTTTTCAATACTTCATCATTTTATTGAATCAACATTTACTTGTTAAAAATAGAATGGTACTCTGAATTAATTAATACTTAAAGAAAATTAATTCTTTGAACTTATTTACTCACAGTCACATTACATTATTGGAAATATTTTTGACAATGATTTGAGAATTTGAGTATTCATATGTTATCGTGCACATAATAACATGACTATAATAACATGATTGGTGGAAGGTTTAAATTTCATAAAGTTGTTTCTACAGCTGATATTACAAGAATTTTACAGGGAGAGTAAATTCTACTTACAGCATCAATTAGATATCATAGTGACCTTTAAATGGTTGAGTTGCCTAAGGGGGAACATTTATTGCCTATCTTTTGATTTAATATCTTGGACCATTAAAAAACTCCAACTATTTAGGTGCTACAAGAAAGTGAAAACGCTACATTTACGATTTGTGGATTTTAAAGGGGCAGTGTTGTATGGTTCTATTAAAGGATTTTTAATAATAAATGGTTTATTAGTGCAGGTAGTAGTAAAAACTTTTCTACTGGACCTTTAAAAAGTGGTGTCCCTTAAGATGCTAGTGGAAGAAGTAGTAATTCTACATTTTGGATGCTATTATTTGTGGATTTTAAAGGGGCAGTGTTGTATGGATTTAATAAATGGAACTTTTAAAGACAAATAATTTAATAATAAATGGTTTATTATTGCATTTTTTAAAACTTTGAGGTGTCTATTCAGATGTTAGTGGACTGAGGAAGAAGTGGTAATGCTAGATTTTGGATGCTACAATTTGTGGGTTTTAAAGGGGCAGTGTTGTATTATGTAATAAATAGACTTTAAACTTTAAAGACAATTTAATAAAATGGTCTACCAATAGATTTTGGATAAACATGACTACTGGACCATGAAATTAGTTGTTGAATCAGATGCTAGTGGACTTTTTAAAGTGTAATTGATAATGTATTTAAGATGCTACAATTTGTGGATTTTAAATTAGTG